AATCAAAAGATGCCTTTGCTAAAATTATGTGCCGACATATCTGAATTTAAACAAACATCAACAAGTGACTCGCAGTTATCATACCTGAAATAGTTACATATTTTCTCATAAATAATTTTATCGTTAAAAGCGTAATTAAAAGTACAAAACTTATTATATTCCTACGCCAATAAACCTGATAAAAATTGAATGCTTCATAAAGTAAAAGCAGGGAGAAATGCTGTTCCGACCTTCTACGTGGACACAAGGACTCCGCTAAGTATCTCAATAAGGAGTGGTTTAAAAATTAGCGGATCAACCCAAAATGCTGCAACAAGAGGTCAAGGTTTACTTAACGGCTTATTCGTGTTTTCATAGTGATTATATCTTTAGCCAGTGTTGTCATGTCCTCTTTCAGCATTAGCAATTTGATGCTGGCCTACCTTTCGTTTCATTTGAAAACGCGAGTGAAAGGGATTCGAAAATTGACCCCATCGGATACCAAAGGAGGGTCGCCTTGGACTTTTGCCTGTTGAATTGTGGGAATAAGTCCTCGGCTCACCGTCCTGCGACTCCAATTAATCCGTGCTGAGCTTCCATCCGTCATGTGACGGACGTCGGCAGAGACAAAAACATTATTTACGAAGAATCACTAAAAAATCCCTAAATCAAGAAATGTAGGAAGGGTTTATTGTTTTTTGGTGATTATTAATGGTTTATGGTTCTGAAGATGTCCGTCACATGACGTATGAAAGCTTAGCATGGACTAATTGGGGTGGCAGGACGGTGAGTCGAGGTCTTTTTCGCGTAATCCAACAGTTACGAGCCCTAGGCAACCATCTTTTGGTATCCGGTGCATCCTTTCCACCTGCTTTTTAAAACGAAATAAAAGATGTGCTAGCATCAGTTTACTAAGGGGTCATTCGAAATCCAGCTTTCCTTCATATCATAAATTTGATTCGGTACATTCCCAGAAGTTTCGCCGTCACCGAATTAGGCAATGTCATAGCGAATACTCAGCCATAGCTCCGAGAAGCAAGTAAACAGTTGCCCCGATACTTATCCTATCACCGGCTGTCCGATTCTGGAGAAATGAGTCTAGTCAAGAAGAGCAAGCCTCTGAATTGGGGCTCGGTGGCTGAGGCCACGCAATGGAATCCCGATTCCCAAAATGCCGCGTTAAACGACGTTGCTAGGCAAAAACTCACCATTCTGCGAGCCATGCTGTGGATGATCCGGATTGTGGTGATCGCACTGCCTCTCGTACATCGGCACGCAGACATGAGATAGGCTCTCAAAGCCGTCCTGCTTCCGAAGGTGCCGATTCATGCTGCGCTCAATCTGCGCTGCACCACCTTTCAGTTTCCGACCCGTCGGACCATAATATGAAGCATAACTGCTCGACCGCCCAGCGCCACCGCTGCCCCCGATTGTGCTGCCTGCCAGTGCGTCGAGACCGGCGTATGTACTGAGGGTGCGCATGCCCTGAGCGACTCCTGCCGTCATGGGACTCAGTTGGCCCCCCAGCGCCCCAGTGCTGGCCCCGTAGCTGCCGATTCCGCTGCCGCCAGCCAACTGGCGGTCCAGACTGTGACCTCGCGAACCCGTTCTCCGACGAGCCAGTTCAGCCTGCGCCTGTAACTGGATGTTGGAGAGTCGGAGGTGCGGTTGGTAGGCGGGTGTGCCGGAAAGATTGGGCACCGGATGGTCACCGAACCAGAGTCGTCCGGTGGAGGATGAGCGCTGTCGAAGGCGGGGGTTGCCCATGACAGTACCGGCTTCTGCCTGCAAACCGCTAAGGTTGCGACGGCGCGTGGATACCAAAAGGTCTGTGATGCACGATTAGGATGAAAAAAGGAGAACCATCAAATTTGGGGGTCGGCATGCCATCGTGCCATCGTGGGGTTTGATGACCCCATCGCCCCCTTTCTCTATATTTTAACCATCATTCCGATTGAACAAGGTTGTTGAGCTTG